TTTGTACTGGGGATAGAACTCAGGACCCTGCACTTGCAAGGCAGGCAGTGGAACCACTGAGCTAAATTCCCGGCCCTCCTTTGCTTTTTATTTAAAAAGCTCTCCTCTAAACTTCAACCTCGAAGTGCTCCAAAGTTAAGATAAATGATTCTGCTTTTATTTCTTCAGTACTGGGGAATGAACCTAGGATCTTTGTTCTGAGTTACACCCTCAGTCCTGTTTTATTTTAAGACATGGTCTAGCTAAGTCTCTAAGTTGTCCAATCTGGGCTTGAACTTGAGATCCTCCTGCCTCAGCCTCCCAGAGTGCTGGGGTTACAGGTGTGTGCCACCATGTCCAGCTAAGCCTGCTCTTTCTATAATAGGACTTGTTTTCTTGGGTGCTAGGAACTGAACCTAGGGCTTCACACATGCTAACCATATGTTCTCCACTAAACTAACTGTCCAGCCCAGAGTCTTTTTCTTTCAAGACAATTTCTTTAATTAATTTGATGAAAAAGTTGGGGTACACAGACCACTTTGAAATAAAAGTAGCAGGGCCTCCTGATATGGCAGTATAGGACAATGGTTAAAAGATAGCCCCTGGAGATAAAACCAGGTTAACCAGCCACTCAATAACTATGTAGCCTTTTAGTAGTTACTTCTCTAAGCTTCAGTTTCTATAGCTATAAAATGGGGATAGAGACAATGCCCGACAACAGCTACCTCTCAGGGTTCAAGTATGGATTAAATGAGATAATGTATGCAAAGCCTGAGAAACTTCTCAACATGAGAGTTAGGAATATGATCATTATCTCTCTCTCTCTCTTTTTTTTTTTTTTTGGTATCCAGGATCGAACTCAGGTCCTTGCGCTTGCAAGGCATGCGGTGGAACCACTTAGCTAAATCCCTGGCCCTGATCATTATCTCTTAAGAAGATAAGAAGCAAGTATGTTCTGCTGCAGGTACTCTTTTTTGTTTTTCTTTTGGTACCAGGAATCAAAATCAGAACCTTGCGCTTGCGAGGCAGGCAGCAGAACCACTAAACTAAATCCCCAGCCCCTGCAGATATTCTTTTTATCTTCAATGCTGTATATATAGAGAGAGAATTTTGGAAAACTGATTAATCCTTTGAACCTATCAGAAAAGACTTAAAGAAGTAGTATAAAAGGGCCAGGGATTTAGCTCAGTGGCACTGTGCCTGCCTTGCAAGCACAAAGCTGTGAGTTCGATCCCCCATACCAAAAAAAAGGAGTACTATAAAAAAGCTATGCAACAGAAAAGTTTTCCTATCTTTGAATCACCACGTATGGTATGCTTTCTGGTTATTCAAGAAGTGCTCAGTGGTCCAAAGCATACAATTTAAAATAATCTCAAAAGAATTTTGTGCAAATATGTTCATCATAGAATTGTTTAAAATACAGAAGATATAGAAATAGTGTATCAACAAGTGAATAGTTGAGTTATTGGTATAGCCACGATGGAATACTATAATGCTCTGTAAAAATGCTGGTAAGGACTTTGGAATGCATGGGGTAAATGTTTCAGTGAAATTTACAAAATAGAAATACTTCTACCACTTGGGAGGCTGAGGCAAGAGGATCACCAGCCTGAATTACACAGCAAGATCCTGTCTCAAAACAAAGCAAAACTGGGCCAGGGATTTAGCTCAGTGATTCCACTGCCTGCCTTGCAAGTGCAAGGTCCTGAGTTCAATCTCTGGTACCAAAAAAAAACCCCAAAACAAACAAACAAACAAAAAAACTAAAAAAACCCAAAGCAAAACAAAACAAAACAACAAAAAAAAAAAGAGATATAAATATTACATACAGAATTATCTCTACTGTTTAAAAAAAAAGACTGGTAAATGCATTGAGGTTAATAGTAATTTGGGGGTGAAAGTACTGTATTAGTTATAATTTGCAAATATACCCATGCATGTATTTTCTTCTGTATAGTTTCATTTATCCAAAGCCCACGTTATTTAAAATTTTTAAAGCCCATTCTTTTTGGAAGTCATACTATGATGTGTCTTAATTCTTTCAACTTTACTTTGGAAATTTGAAATTTCATTTAGTGTATTCCATTTTCTCAAAAGAGGCTTAATGGGGCAGGAATTTAGCTCAGTGGCACCGCACCTGCCTTGCATGTGCAAGGTCCTAAGTTCGATCCCCAGTACCCCCCAAAAAAGAGGCTTCATCTTTACTGTAGCACACATAAAAAATATTTTGTCACATATTATTTGTAAAATATGATTCATAAATGCCTCCTAGTAATGGAAATAAATGTCAACTAAATGTTCCTTGGGCAACAATCTGTTAAGAGATTTCCCTCTTTTTTTGGAGACAGAGTCTCACTTTGTATTTCAGGCTGGCTTTGAACCTGAGGTGATCCTCCTCCCTCAGCCTGTGGAGTGCTGGAATTACAGGTGTGTGTGACCACGCCTGGCAAGAAATCTCTTATTTAATTAATTTATTTGAGAGATCTCACAATTTTAACTGTTTACAGCATTTTGAACCAGGAATTACACTTCTTAGCATCTATTCCACATAAGTGTTTGTTGTACATTCAAAGATTAATATATACAAATTTTCATTGCTTCTTTTGGCTAAGATCGAGTGTTAGTACCTGTTTTTACCAGTTTAACATATACAAATTTTGGGGGGGTGTTTTTTTGGTTTTTTTCTTTTGAGACAGGGTCTCACTAAGTAGTTGAGACTGACCTGGAACTCACTATGTAGTCCAGGCTGGTCTCAAACTCACAGAAATCCTCTCCTGCCTCAGCCTCCCGAGTGCTGGGATTACAGGCATGCGCCACCACGCCCGGCAACATATACAAATTTTTACTTTAACAATGTCAGCAGAAAGCCAATCAGTAAGCAGAAAAGGCCTGAAAAATGGGTACCCACAGCAGGATATGCTTTGTGCAGAAACTGATACTAACTTAGAAAGATATCCATGAGGGCTGGGGATTTAGCTCAGTGGTTCCACCACCTGCCTTGCAAGCACAAGGACCAGAGTTCAATCCCCAGTAACAAACAAACAAAAAAAAAAACCCAAAAAACACACCACAAACAAAAACAAAAAAAACACATTAACTAGCTTCTAGTGACACAGAGGGTATGTGTCAGATCTTGTTCTGAGTCTAGATTATTGTGTTTCAAAGTTTATGCTTTCAACTACTAAGACCCAGCCCTATTTTATAAAATTAAGTTGCATAAAGTATGCATGATTTGGTTCTATGTATGTGCTTCTATAATTTTTATATAATTTCAAGATTTATAGGGAATTCATTTTATGTATCTATACATATATATTTACAATTAATAAACATATAGGAGAATCTAGAAAGAAGACATTAGGGACTATCAGTAGTATTTACCTCTGTCTTGGGGGGTGGGTAGGAAAGAAAAAAAGGGGAAACTTTCACTGATTTTACTTTATAAACTATACCATTTAATTAATGTTTTCAGTACAGAGAATCAAACTCAGGACCTTGTGCATGCCAGGCAGTCATGGCACACCACTCACCCACATTCCCAGTCCTTTAACTTTTAAGAACTGTTACACATTTATAAATGAAAATGTTGCTACAGGAAGAATAAATCATCTAAGGAATATATCAAAGAAGTTTAGAACTGAGATGCTCAGCCATGGTTTCATTTTCTTAGTTTCATTCATTCATTCCTTTTTTGAGGCAGGGTCTCACTCTGTAGATCAGACTGGCCTTAACTATGCAGCCCAGGCTGGCCTCAAAGTCACAGAGGTCCTCTTGCCTCAGTCTCTGGAGTGCTGGGATCACAGGCAGGTACCACCACACCCAGCAACTGTTTCATTTTTGAACCTCTGCTTCCTATATTGGGTAAGCTGTGGGGCATGATGTCCCTCAGCAGCTAAGTAGCAGCCCCACAGTGCCCACCAGTCCATACTTGCATCAAACACGTGCAGTTTCTCGTCCTGCACGGGCTGAGCACCTCTCTCTCCACCCCCGAAGACATACAGCTGGTTTCCAATGGCTGCTGCTGATGTGTGGAATGTTCTTGGGGACGGTGGAGGGCTGGTCACTTCTGGCGTGGTCCATGTCTTGGTTTCTGTTTCAGAGAGAAGGCAGGTACCTAAAATACCAAAGCTGAGGGCTTTGAGGGTCGTCCCCCCACCCCCGCCGCCGCAGTGCTGGTGAATTGAACCCCAGGCCTTGAGCATGCTAGGCAAGCAATCCTGCACTGAGGTGCACCCTAGCACCTAACCTTGACCTCGCTGGGAACTGGCAGGGTCACTTTCCTACCTGGATCACCGAGACAGACAACACAGCTATAGGCAGGGAGCTCACTCTTGCTCAACATCACAGAGGAATTAGGATGCTTCTTGGAATTTGTCTAGACATCAAAATCACCAGGACTGTAAAGCCCTAAGCACAACCAAGAAGGAAGCTAATATCCTCCCTGTACCCTCTTCCACTTTGCTGACTATCCTGCCCTGTGCTCATTAAGAGGAGCCCGATAACTGCTAAAATTCATTCCTACTAGAGGCTAAGCATGCCAGATTTCCCAGAAAAGATGGTCACTGAAACAGACAATTACAGTTTCAGTAGCAAAAATAAAGATGTCTATTACATACTAACTGGTAAATATTAACAGCACATTCCTCCTTTCACAGAAAAGGGAACTGAAGTAGAGAAAGTACTCTTTTTAAGGCAGGAGGGCTAGGAAATGGCTGGATTGAGATTTAAACCCTATTTTTTTTGTTTCATTTTTTTGAGACAGGGTCTCACTATGTAGTTGAGATTGACCTGGAACTCACTGTGTAGCCCAGGCTAGTCTCCAACTCACAGCAATCCTCCTGCCTCAGCCTCCGGAGTGCTGAGATTACAAGTGTGCGCCACCACGCCTGGCTAAACTCTATTTCTTTTCTTTTTCTTTTTTTGGTACTAGGGATCGAACTCAGGTCCTTGCACTTGTGAGGCAGGCTCAGAGCCACTGAGCTAAATCCCCGGCCCTTAAAGTCTATTTCAATAATACTGGGATCTTTATATTTTCTACTCTTTTGACTTGAGAATGAAACATAAATTCTACGTTCGGGGATTTAGCTCAGCGGTGCTGGCTCTTACCTCACAAGCACAAGGTCCCAAATTTGATCCCTGGTACCCAAAAGCAATGAATTAATTAATTCTATAAAAATGGATTCATTCAATATATAAAGTGGAATGAGAAATTAGAAACATTTATAGCTAAATGGATGCACATTGAGGCTATACTCAAGTAAAATAAATTGGACACACGAGTGAATAACGAATAATTTCTCTGGAGTACAAAACCAAAAGTGTAAATAAGGTTCAAATGGTATAATTGAGAGGGTGAAATTGGAAGAAAATGTCTAAAGGGGAAGTGGCAGGGGAGGGGAAAGGAAATAAAGGAAAAGAAAAAGATATGAAAAAATGGAAACCAAGTCTTTGTAAATAGGGAAGGGTGAAGGGGTGAAAGGAGGGCAGGGTTGTGGGGAACAAATAAGAACCAAGATAGATCATGTAAAGGTACAGGATCCCAATGATGAATGTAACTGTATTTTTTGCTTTAAATGTACTAATAAACTTAGTGGAAAAAATATATATATAAAGTGCTGCAGTATGTGTACAACTCAACAAGAACCTGGAGACTGAACAAATCTCAGCCCATCTGGGACAGCTTTTGGATCTTAGGGAGAGTTAGAAAGCACACACATCAAACAGCAACAAAGCACAAATAACCACAAAGGAATCCTAAGCTATCACAGGGACTTGCTTTGGTAACAAAAACAATTCAGTTGTATTTGTCATATTTCTTGGGCATGGTGTCAAATTATGCTTTCCAGGAGAGAAAAGGATATGGTTAGAAAACCTACTCCTTTGGCAGAAGTCTTGTAGTGTTTTATTTAAATGGGTACAACTGCTGAGAATCAAAAAGGGCAGGACTGCCAGGCGAGGTGGCACAGCCCTTAATCCCAGCTTCTCAGGAGCTCAAGGCCACCTGGGCACCTTAGTGAGACCTCATCTCAACAGAAAGAAATGAGCCGCAGCTAACATATATTTGGTGTTTACTATGTGCAAGATCCTAAGTTAACTTAAATCCTTGTCAAATTAACAAAGGATGAACTATTACTATCGCAATGTGACAGAAGAAAGAGAAAAAATAAAAGGGAGGCAGAGAGATTAAGCCACTTGCTCAAGGTCATGGTTAGTACATAGCAAAGATAGCCCTTTACCCCTTGACCAGCCCCTCTAACTTCCTCTTTCCCTCCCTCCCTTCTTTCTTTTCCCTCTTCCCTCCCTTTCCCCTTGCCCCTTCCCTCCCTCCCTTCCTTCCTTCCTTCCTTCCCTCCTCCCTGTTGTAGTGCTAAGGATTAGAACCAGGGACTCAAGGAGAACACTAGGAAAGTGCTTTACCCCTCCCTGCACCCACAGCCTCATCTGTGCTCTTTTGCAGCATTCTCTACCACGACTGTTCCAAGCACACTGGCTTCTGAATGGACTAAGCCATCTGCTGAGCGTCTGCTGCTTCAGATCCTTCTCTGAACCCTGGGATTCAACAGTGAGCAAACCCTGGCTTTCAAAGCACTGACATATCAGAGAGGGAGGCCAGGAAGAACACCCAAACAATCAAATCAAATGAATGTATAAGAAGGTACCATTTAAATGCTACGAAATTCCAATACACATAAGGAAACTGAGTCCCAGTCCAGGGATTTAGCTCAGTGGTTCCAGCACTTGCCTCACAAGCTCAAGGACCCTGAGTTTGATCCCCGGTGCCAAAAAGAAAAAAGAAAACAAAAACCAATGGAGTCCCAAAGGGTGCAGTGGTGCATATTCATAATCCCAGCTACTCAGGAGGCTAAGGAAGGAAGAAGTTCAAAAGTTGAAAGGCAGCCTTGGCAACTTAGCAAGATCCTATCTTAAAGAAAATAAAGAGAGCTGGGCATGGTGGTACACACCTATGGTCCCAGCTCTTAGGAAACTGAGGCAGGAGGATCGCCATGAGTGAGTCTAGTCTGGCTTACACAGTGAGTTCAAAGCTAACCTGAACTACACAGTGAGATCTTATCTTAAAAAAATAAATAAAGGAGTTAAAAAAAATAGGCCGGGGACCTAGCTCAGCAGTACAGTGCCTCTGGCTTTAACCTCCACAATTGAAAAAAAAAAATTCAATCCCATCTCTTGAAGTCTAACAAACTGTCTTGCAAATATATTGTATTGCTGTGCAAATATACTGGCAAGAGTTAATCTACATGTAAAAAATGTCAATGGCATCAGTGATGAACGAAAATTGTGCATTTAAACAAGATACAAGTTATTTGACTTATCAAACTGGTAGTATCTACCACTGACAAATTCAAAGCTGGACAGGAATAAAACAACAAGTACTAAACACAGCTGAAGAAAGGATAAACCAGAAAAATCTTTCTGGAGGGTAACTTGGTAATATATACCAAAAACCTGAAAAGGGTTGGGCATGGTAGCACACGCCTGTGATCTCAGCACTTGGGAGGCTAAGGCAGCAGGATTGCCTGAAGTTTCAGACCAGCCTGAGCTACACAGCAAGACCTAGTCTCAAAACAAAAAAATTATAAACCCCTAAAAACCTGAAAAAGGTTTGCAGAGCTGGTGTGGCCTAGTTGTACAGCATGCACAGGCCTTTGGGTCAGTCCCTAGTACCAGAAAGATTTTTTTTTTTAAAGAGTTCAGCATTTTTGCCTAGTCTTTTTATTTCTGGATACAAATCCTAAGAAGATAATTTGAAATATAATCAACAACTCTGAACAAAGATACTCACTATTTTGTTATCTATAGTGGTAAATAGCTGAAAACAACCCTAAATATTAAAAAATGGGGGCAGTTACAGTAATCACTATGCAGCCATTAAAATATTAATAAAACATTGATAACAAGATTATTGACCCAGTGATGATGAAATTAAAAGGAAAAAGGTATAAAAGCCAGGTGTGGTAGTGCTCATCTGTGATCCCAGCACTCTGGGAGACTAAGGCAGGAGGATCCCAAGTTCAAGCCCAGTTTGTGAAATTCAGTGAGTTAGTGAGACCCTATTTTATTTAATATTGGGTCTCACTATGTAGTTGAGACTGATCTGGAACTCACTATGTAGCCCAGGCTGGTCTCAAACTCACAGCGATCCTCCTGCCTCAGCCTCCTGAGTGCTGGGATTACAGGCACGTGCCACCACACCTGGCTTCCTATTTTAAAATAAACTAAAAAGGATGAGGATATAGCTCTGCTCAAAGGTCCTGAGCTTGGTACCCAGCACCTCAGAAACACTCCCCCTGCACAAAAAGAACAGAAAGTAAGTAGAGTAACAGCCACTTATCTGCATGGGATAGTTCTAAGACTGCCAGTGGATGCCTGTACTCATGTGTGTGTGTGTGTGTGTGTATTTGTGTAGTGATCAAAATATATGACGAGTGTTTAAATTATAGACATGTTATCATTAATTCCTCTGAGGGCCAGGGATTTAGCTCAGTGGTGCTGCCGCCTGCCTTGAAAGCCCAAGGTCCCAAATTCAATCCCCGATACCAAAAATGGAACAAAACAAAAATTATTAATCCCTCTGAAAATATCAAGTGAGACATATCCATCTCACTGCAGACATGCTTATCCCATCATCCTTGCCACTTTCTGAAGTACTTGTGTGTCTCTTTTTTTTTTTTTCTGGTACCACCAGGGTCAAACTCAAGACCTTGTGATTGTGAGGCCCAGGTGGTGCCAGTGAGCTAAATCCCAGCAACACTTGTCAATGTTTTGACAAGGTGTGAATAGGTGAATGAGCCAGTTGTCATGGTGCACGCCTGTAATCCCAGCGCTCAGGAGGCTGAAGCAGGAGGAGTGCTGTGAGTCCAGTTGCAGCTCGGGCTACACAGTGAGTTCAAGGCCAGTCTGAACTACACTGTCTCAAAAAAAAAGGCCCACCAGCCGGGGATTTAGCTCAGTGGTTCTGCTGCCTGACTCGCAAGCACAAGGTCCCAAGTTGAATTCCAGGTTTAAAAAAAAACCAAAAAACAAAAAACACCAAAAAAAAGAAAAAAAGGTGAATGCAGCTGCCACATACCACCCAACAGAGAGGCAGGCTCTTAAAAATGTGTGGCCAGTTGTGATGTCAAACACCTGTAATCCCACCACTCTGGGAGGCTGAGGCAGAAGGACTGATGAGAGTTTGAAGCCAACCTGGGCTACATAGTGAGTTCAAGGCCAGCCTGGATTACGGAGTGAAACCTTGGCTCAAAAAATAAAAAACAAGCAAAAAAAGAAAATCAAAATACACACACACAAACACACACGTTAGTGTATCCTTATCCACCTTATTCACTGGATCTGACACTGTGACTTCTGGCTCTTCCACAAAGACAAAATGACCATGAAAAGTAAACATTTTTAACTGATTCAGGCTATTGAGGAAGCCAGAATAGAGCAATTAAACACTCATAAAAGAGGACTTCCAGAACTGCTTCAGAAAGTGTCAAAAATGATAGAATGAGTGTGTTCAAAATGAGAGGTGGGCCAGGCGTGGGGGCACATGCCTGTAATCCCAGCACTCGGGAGGCTGAGGCAGGAGGATTGCTGTGAGTTTGAGACCAGCCTGGGCTACATAGTGAGTTCCAGGTCAGTCTCAACTACATAGCGAGACCCTGTCTCAAAAAACCAACCAACCAACCAACCAACCAACAAACAAACAAAATGGGAGGAGTATTTTGAGTGGGACTGAAGGCAATGTCTTTTATAGTAATAAATTTAAAAGAAATTAAATATTCTTCGTACTTTTTGACTACAGGTCATATCTATTTACAGACATACATATAAAAATGTTTTTCCCTATGCATACATGCATACATATTATAAAGTTTAATTTATAAAATAGGCACAATCAATAATAACACAATAGAACTATAGCAATATGCTATACTAAAATCATTTTTGGGCCAGGGATTTAGCTCAATCGTTCCACTGCCTGCCTTGCAAGTGCAAGGACCTGAGTTCAATCCCTGGTACCAAAAAAAAAAAATCATTTTTATTTTTATTTCTTGAATTTTTTTTCTGTGCTGGGGATTGAACCCAAGCCCTTTCATATGCTAGAAAACATGGAATCTTCCATTTAATATTTTCAATCTATTGCTGATTATAGGGAACTAGAGTCATAAAAAAGTAAAACCAAAGATATGCAGACCACTATATATAAAAAGGTTACTAATACCCTTAATGTGACCGTATTACTGGTGACTTTTGACCACTTATTTATATTTTTCAAGTATTTCACAATGAATGTAATTTTGTTTGTTTGTTTGTTTGTTTTTATGGTACTAGGGAATAAACCTGGGGCTTACCCATGGAGCTACAACCCCACTCCCTCTTTTGTCTTGACAAAGTCTTGCTAATTCACTAAGTTGCCCAGGATGGGCTCAAAATTGCAATCTCCTGCCATAAGGATTAGAGACATGTGCCACCATGGCTGGATGAGTGTAAATATTTATAAAGAGAAAACAAAACCAAAAATTCTATTTCTTTTTCTTTTTTTTTCTTTTTTTTTTTTTTTTGTCTTTTTGAGACAGGGTCTCACTACATAGTTCAAGCTGGCCTTGAACTCACAATGTAGCCCAGGATGGCCTCAAACTCTTCCTGCCTCAGCCTCCTGAGATTACAGGTGTGTGCTTTCAAAACCAAAAATTTTATAAATGACAAAATGATGAAGTCACCTCCCACAGGTAATTCACCAACCTCCTCTCAGGAGTAAAACTGATTGCTCTATAGAACTACCACTTCAGCTAAAAGGAATATAGTAATAGGGAGAAAAAAAGAAACATACTGAGAGGATGTGTGGTAGAGTTTGTTGTGTCTTTTTTGTTTGTTTGTTTTTTTGTTTTTTGAGACAGGGTCTCACTATGTAGTTGAGACTGACCTGGAACTCACTATGGAGCCCAGGCTGGTCTCCAACTCACAGCGATTCTCCTGGTCAGCCTCCAAGTGCTGGGATTATAGGTGTGTACCACCAAGCCCAGCTGGAGTTTCTTGACTTTGGCAGTACTGATATTTTACAGCAGATAACTCATTATTGTGGGTGCTCTCCTGACATTACAGGCTGCACAGCACCATCTCTGGCCTCTCCCCACTAGATGCCAGGTGTAAGATACCCATGATGATCAGCACCAATTACGGATATGGAATAATGCCACAGGGGCATAATCAGAACCACTGGTCTGCACACTTGGGTCTTAGACTGGCTCAGCCACTAAATCCCTGGAGATTTTAAGAGAGTCACTTCCATCTCCACACCTCCCTAGACCTGAGATGCCTTTGGCATAAGTGTTCTCCAAAGGCCCTACCAGCTTTGGCATTTATGGGGTTGACAAATTCCTATCTTTTATGAGGTCAGCAAAGTTAAATGGATTAATTAGTACAATCCAAATATACTGGATTTATGTATAAAGAAAATAAAATAACCTTTGTCTACTTACCTGGATTCAGGACTTGTACACAATTTCGGTTTCCTGACTGGTCAGCTCCTCCAAATACCCAGATGCTGCCAGGTGTGCACGAGGGAACAAAGCTGGCATGTTCATAGCGAGGCAAGAGGCCCTCCCAGGTGGCCAAGTCCCATTGGTGTGTTCCTAGAAAACATTTCCCCCAGTTCCTAGATTGGAACTGTCAACTGCTTGTCTCGGTTGACAAACTTAGGGAGAGCAGAGAGGAGTAAGAGGGCCCAAAACACAAATTAGAGCCAGGTATGGTGGTACACACCTGGAATTTCAGTACTTGGGAGACTGAGGCAGGAGGATTACTGTAAATTCAAGGCCAGCCTAGGCTACAGAGTGAGTTCAAGGCCAGCCAGAGCTACATAGTATGACCTTGTCTCAAAACCCAATAAAATAAAAGCATAAATGAATAACCATTGAGTCACTTAACAGAAATCCAGAAAGTTGGATAGTAGACACTTTGGGGGCTGCCTCCTTAGTCTGTAAACTTTCTTCCATAGGAATTCTTTCTGTTTTCCTTTCTAACCACAAGGTAGAGCCCATACAACACATAATACCACAACTTGACTTTGTCTTTTTCTTTTTTGTGGGGGGTACCAGGGATCAAACTCAGGAACTTGCACTTGCAAGGCAAGCAGCGGAACCACTGATCTAAATCCCCAGCTCCTCACACCTTTACTCTGTATCCTTAGCGGACTGGGTGGGAGGTAGCCACTGACCCAGTGGGCCAATCAGATCCACTCTCTCATGTGGCTGGGCTGTATTTGTAGGCCTTAGATTCTGCAAACATTCCTGGTTTTATCTCATCCACCCCCCTCCTGGTTTAAACGGGTTTCTGTTACCTGCAACTAACTGATCTCTGGCTAAAACAAGTTCACTGAATAAAAATGCCTAACCTATTAGTTATTTTAGTTAGCAAACTACTTGTATAAGATGTTCATAGGCATTATTTTGTTGGATAGTTATGACTGCTAAATGAAGCACTCACTCCACAGGATACTGAGGTCCAGGCTGTGTAAGTGGTTTAGCCAGAGTCACAAAGATAGTAATAGTTTGCAAAAAAAAAAAATTGTAACCATGGGCTGGGGATATAGCTCAGGGTAGAGCAGGGGATATAGCTCAGGGTAGAGCACATGTCTAGCCATGCACAAGGCCTAGATTTGTCCAGATCTCCAAAACATACACATAATTGAACTAGTCAGTGAATGTCTAGAGGTTTGGGAAAGATTTGTTCCCTTTTGTCTCCCCAGTGCTCCCAGTTTAGGCTCCCCAGCCTAGACTTGCACAGGCTAGGGAAGCACTGTGCTGGAAGTCACTTACCTTTAATCTCCTATTCAGAGTGTAGAAATTCTAGTCTCTAGACAGGAATAGCAAGGACTATGGCAACTTGGAGAATAAAGGCCCCACCAACAGGTAGCAGCTCAGCTCCAAATACTTACTGCCAAGCAGTCAGGCAAGCTTACTGAATGTCATCAGTAACCTTTAAAGTTACCACAACAGCAAGTAGGGTACTAGCTCAATGGTAGAGCACTTGCCTAGCACAGCACACAAGAGGCCCTAGATTCAATCTCCAAGAAAAGAAAGAAGGGGGAGGGGCTAGGGATTTAGCTCAGTGGTTCTACCACCTGCCTAGCACGTGCAGGAACCTGAGTTCAATCCGGGTACCAAAAATAAAAA